CACATGTATAATCCACTCCTGTTCCTTCAAACATCAAGTCAATAATACAGGATGCCCAGGTGGTCCCAGCAAAATGCCTATAGCTCCCAAACGAAAAAAGACAGAGGTCTCGGACTTGTCTAGTTTTGTAGAGAAGATGTTGCTGTATCTAAATGTAAATTTAGGACGAAAATTTTATCTAGAATCCTTTTCACGACACTGCTGAACATTTTGTCCGAGAAAATACACCACCTGAAACTAATAGTTTTCAGATCATTTTTAGGTCGTTTGATAGCCCCATGAATTTACTTCAAAATGATGAAAACCAGAACCCTCTAGCTCATTCCGATCAAACGTTATTCAGAAAACATTCGAGTGCATTGCTTTTTGACTCCGGTAGTAATTCTTTTGATCTTCTTCTGTTTGCACTATCTTTGCATCCCTGTATTATTGACTTGATGTTTGAAGGAACAGGAGTGGATTATACATGTGTATTAATTAATTCATGCCAGGTGTTTCTGTGTCTAGTTTCTTTTCTCCCGTTTTTGATACCGAACTTGTCAGTGTCATCCATTATCTTATTTTCGCATCTTTTTCTTATACCACCACGTCCAGGACGTTTATCACCAGGAAGTAGGAAAACATTACCTTCTTAACTAGAGCTGGCCCATTTTCATGTTTCATTTGATTTGCATCACTAAAGAAGAATTTTTCGATGAAAGGTCTGGATTTAATAGTAAATTTCAGTTTTAATAAAACTAATTAGCTGCGAAAATATGAATATATTTAGTTTACAAAACGTTTGGCTAAAACAAATAAAGACAGCATCGTTGCAGACTAAGTATTTTTCATTAATGCATCAAATCTGCAATTCTTATTTAAAACAAAATTTATTCGTAGGTACCATTCATTTACTAGACGTCTAAAATCATCATTGAGATTAATCCTGTATTTTATAAATAAAAATGATATTTTTTTTTTATCGTACAGTGTACAAAAAATAAAGAAAGATCCAAATGGAAAAGGCATGAAAGACTAGAGTAGAAACGTTAAAAAACAGTAAATATGAAAACTCGAATGTCAATAGTTTTATTGTTTCTTCCTATTGTAATATTAATAGCAACTGCCGCTATTCAGATCACATGACGTACCATATGGACAACAATGAAGACCATCGCCACAACACGTACCCTAAAAGTGAAGAAATTAAGATTAACAAAGGAATAATCAATTTCGCACATTTGAGCAGAGTTCAGTGACAGCGGTTAAATTTTCATTTGCGCCATGACCAGCTAACTCTGCTACCGTAGTGAAATTTCATGACGGTTTTATAGTATTTTGTTTCCCCTTATAATTTTCGAAAGGTGAGAAGCCCAGAGATCTGAAACATCTGATGAAAGAGAAAAGTGTGTTAAAGATTTTGAGACGTTCCTGCAGTCTACACGCTATTTTGTTCAAAAACTACGGGAGAAAAAATACAAACACCCACGTTTTCGCATAACTTTCAAGAAGTAGGTATTTGTATTTTGACTCTACTTATTTCACAGAAGAACGTGTAGACTGTAGGAACATCGCAAAATTTTTAGTACACTATTTTCTTTCATCTGAAATGTTTCAGATCTCTGAACTTCTCGTCTTTCGAAAATTATATGAGAAACAAAATACTAAAAAACTGTCACGGAATTTCATTATGGTAGCAGAATTAGTTACCCTATATAATAAACGTGCAAAGAGAGATGAGAATATGAAACGTACATTCGTAAATGCACAACATTGATATTGATTTGAAGATGTCTCACAACATGTATAATTATCTGGACATGATACAAGTAAATTAGGACACACATTGGTAGGAAAGGAAGACGAGTTCAATTGCTAAAATAAGACAGAGAGATGAATGAAGAATGAAATTCATCAGAAATCATCTTTTACTTGTTCTTTCTCTTTCTCAGCGTGTGTCGTTTCTATTCGTAGTAGATAATCGTTTGATGTCTTAGTATCATTTAATTCGCACGATTGATCTTTTGGATTACAAATATAATTAAACGGACAGCATACATCACCTCGAGAACCACAACAAACACCCTAAAAAACAACACTTTTAAAATTAAAATTTTTACTCATTTTAGTTCATCGCGAAAAATAGACAATAAATATTAACCGACGTCTAGTTTAAATGAACCTTTTGATACGGACAACATCCATAGCTTTGACCATTTTGATTTTTCTCCGTATTTGGACAACATGTCGACTTTAAACTACATTTTGTGACACCATCTGGACACATTTGATCATCACTTACATCTAAACCCTAAATAGAATAAGAAAATTCAAATTTCAAATGATATTCCTTGCAATTCTATTCGATAATTTCAATATTTTTTTCGAATTTGTTCAGACTTCCCTCCAAAAACAAAAATGATCTCAAAATTCCTAGATATATCTCATTCAACTCGGTTTTTGACGCTGATTCTCATATCACATTAGTTTTGGAAATAAAATTTTATCTCAAATACCAGTGTCTTTCCGTATTTATCGCTATGTATTTCAAAAAGTAGTTTTGTCAGTAAGGAAGCAAAATAAAATGAAACTGATCTTTAACGTTTTTGCCATAATAAAATAAAGGAAGTTATTTACTTTGTGACTGGAAAAAGCTTAGATAGGTTTACAATGTTCATATATGGCATTTTTTCGATTCTACTCATGCTTTTCAATTCATTGATCATTTCAGATTTCAGAAAAACTCAAACTCAGTTCTCTATACTCAGTCTTACATGGAAAATCAGAAGAAAAAAGTTTGAAAATTGTAAAAGTAAAATAAAATGGAAAATTTAGATTATTATTACTATCACTTTGACCATATTCAAAAATTTCAATATTTTTTTAAAGTTTTTGATACAAAAATGGGTATACTGACATATGGACGCGCACGACATTTGGAAGCAACGATAGTTTAAGTTCACAGTGTTCCAAACTTTGAAGTTCACACAGTTCACTTCAGTTAAGTTCAGTGTGAATATCGATGAAGGTTAAACAAACAGTGATTACAGCTGGGGATGAGTAATATAGAAAAAGCTCTCATATCGCACCAAGTTTGTTTAAAGAAAATTTTATCGTTATGTATCATACTTTAACAAATGGACTCTTGCTGAATGCTTTTCTACCCAAATGTCATGCGTTGAAATGTCGTTGCGCCCTTACTTAATAAATTATTTAATAAATTTCGCCTATTTTACTTTTACAATTTTCAAACTTTTTTCTTCTGATTTTCCATGTATGACTGTGTATAGAGAACTGAGTTTGAGTTTTTCTGAAATCTGAAATGATCAATGAATTGAAAAGCATG